CCCCCCCCACAACAGAAAATATGTGGGCCTGCTCATGGTCTCACAACTACTGTCCCCACATTCGTCGCTCTTGTTGCCCTGACCAGGGCTGTTGTTCTTTTTCTTGTTCTTGTCTTTCACTCATGCACAATCGCCACTTTCTCTTTCTCTCTTGCACTACGCCGAACTATTCCCCTTTGTCACTTGTACTCGAGCCGGGACCGGGGAAACTAATTTCGTTCATCCCATGCTCCATGTGATGACAATAAAGAACCTTGAGTCCTTGAGTAACACTCGAAGGACTTGAGCACTTTATTTATACCAGTCTGTTAAATAAATTATCATTTAAAACCAACATGTGATTGTGAATCTGAACAATTACAGTCGGACAAGGATTTAATGAAGAGGTATTGGGTGACTTCTTCGTTTCACTGGTTCCGAATCAAAGGATCCTGAGCAGAAGTCTGAAAACTAGAGGCTCCACAGTGAAGATGATCTAGAATGTTTTTTCAATGTGTCTACAGTGTAGCATTTAGAACAGATGTGTGTAGAGAAAGAGGAGGAAGTGCACATCTACTGTAAATGTCCAAAGCTGTGATTCTGTCAGGCACCTCACCTACCTGAGTACTGTCCTCAGAGAAAAGTCTTACAGTAATAATCACCGTCCTCAAAAGTGCCTTTTTATACAGAGAACAAGTGTTTTCTCCACATTCTCTGCTTCATCCTGGAGCCAGTAACTTGTTATTCACTCAAGTCTTTGAAAGTCCTGCTGCTGAGCTTTAGCTTTGTGTCATAGCAGCACAAATATCAGCCCAGTCAGGGGAAAAAACGCCATTTAAAACACTTCCGTGTGTGTTTGGCCATTGCTTCAGCCATTGTTTCCTCTACCTCGTGGAGTGTGACATCATGCGGCCTTGTGTCCTCTGTGTGACGCTGTCACATCCTCTTTCATGGGCAACAGAAAGTCCAATGGAGCGCAGCAATTGTCTTATGATTGGCAAGAAGTGTGAAGGCTGAGAAGCTGCTTGTCTCACTGTAGAAAAGGGAAAATAAATTATTGTTTGCTTAATAATGCAGATATTAGACCAAGAGTGAGAAAATGTTACTAGCGTCATACAAAATTGTAAATAGAATTTATAGTTAGTTACCAAAGTGTGTTAAACCAAAGTGTGTTGAACCATAAACTGTTATCTAAGTGTGTTAAATAATGGTCTGCTTGATAGGAGTAGGTACTCCTAAAACGTTTTTTACGATGTAGGTCCATAAAGGATGAGGTCTGTTTCTCATCAAGTATGGGAGTCTGATGAACTTTGCCCTAGGAGTAAAACTTAAAGAAAAAACAACTGCCCAGTACTTGTGAAACTTTCTCAAAAGGAGCTGCAGTCCTCATACACTTTGGGACTTAGGTGAGCCAGCTCTGCGAAGCTGTTGGTCTCTCTGCTCCCCCTCGCAGCGAGTAAAAAGTACAACGTTGTCAGGTGTGGTTCTTTTCAGGTCATTCTATCTGCAGCAGTTAGATGACAATAGTGGTGACTGAATAACGTAATTTTCGGCACCAACAAAAATGTATACACAACAATGGTGAAAGGCTGACTGGTGTTGAACACTCTTACTGTTGAAATGTACTTAATGAAGTGGCCACTGAGTGGGCAGATATGGAGAGTTCGCAGATTCGATACAACTCACCAAGCAGACGTCAAGGATGGATCCGTTGTCACGGTCCATGCCCACATCCACTGTTCTCTGCTCCGAAGTCAGGCAGATGGCGCTGTCCTCCATGGTGAAGGTGGAAGTGGATGCGGCATCCTCTCTGAAAGACAGATTTGTTCGAGTGAGTATAACGTCTCTGAAAAGAGCCAGCCCATATCTGGAACTCAAATATCAGTGTTTACTACCATAACAAATATTATGTACTATAATGCTCTGCAGTGACTTTAAGATCAAGAGACGTTATTTAACCCTTTATAGGGCACTCATTGAAACACTATGAAATTAAAAAAATCAACTTTAGAGTCTTATTGGGGGCCATAACCAAAGTTTATTTCTGTTTTCAACATTTTCAAAAATGTCCAATGTCTTGCAAAAAAACCAAAGTAGACAAAGTTACCACATTTGGTTCCTTGCCTTTCAGAGGTACAAAAAAAATCCATTAAGTGTATACGTAAGGTATACAACAAAAACACCTATTTTGTAAAAGGAACATGCATGTTTCAAATTAGAACAACTTTTAGAATATAAGCGCTGATTCAGACTGATGACTGATAATTTGGGCATCAAAGTACCTAATAACGTATTTAAAAGGCATGTCAATTGTCAGGAAACTTTCTCTGTTAAACAGGACTGTAAAAAATGCTGTTAGTTCATACCCCAGTTTCCGAACACAAAGAATCAAATAAAGAATCAAATACGAGATCTCAAAGTTTAAAAGTTTTACTTGCAAGCAAGGAGTGCAGAACAATGTTTACATTCAGAACTGCACTGAGGAACTCCTCAGTGCTCAAAGCTTAAATACAGTTTTTTTTTACATACACACTTCAATGGTCAGTACCTTAACCCTTTACAGTCATGTGGTGTAGCACTGATTGGCAAAGGCTGCTTCAAACAAAGATTCTCCACCAATAGAAAACATGTACATGTGCTGAGCTATTCTGCTCAGTAACTCAGGTTAGATCAAAGAAATACACTTTGGATTCTTTTCCTTTTTGATGTTCTGTTTTCCTCATTATTTGGGCAGAGAAACTGGTTCAGGCCGGTTCTGTGACCTGTCTCTATCTTCAAGTATAACAGTCAGTGCCATCAGTACCATACACCATTCTGTTATGTAAACCATCAGCATGCACACCTTTCTTCAGTACTTCTCCTTTTAGTACAGCATTTAAAAACAAACAGTATAAATTGATATGGAAACTTAATACAATGAATATATTGTAAAGATTGAATAAATGTATTTACAATATCTTAACATCAATGTAGTCTGGGGCAGAGTGCTGGTATTCAGGAAGGGCTGTGTTGTTCAGGCCAACTTTATGCCAGGTGGTTGGCCTCGGTGCCGACTTGTCAAATCTCCTTGGCCTATGGGCTTGTACTGCTGGCTACACATTATCATTATCACATTATCACAAATTTTCACTATTTATAGCTTTAATATTTCTAGAAATCGGTTAAAATTATCCCTGAATCACTGTATCGTATTCTAAAAACCGTTGGCAACATTAAAACATAATGTCCTTAGTTGTATTGCTTTTTTTTTTTAAATCAAGAAAATAATAAGCATGCATTGTTAGGTGCATCGGGCATATGTTCAAAAATGGACACACTTAATGAACTTCCGTTTTTAGTTGAACCGGGCGTATCAAATATGGTGCCTGCATTTTTCATGCCGTAATTTCACTCATTTCCACAAGTCCTCCACAAACAACACATATGTCATCACTAAGCACAACTATTCAACTATAAAATGTGTGAGTTTCCTCAACTTACTATGGTTAGTTTAGAAGTTTTGTACAGAAATGTACGGTGAGTTGGGCTTCTTGAGCGTCTTTTTTCGACTTTGGTGGAGCAAGAAAATTAGATGCGCTCCAGATCTCTGCTAATTGGTCGAATGCCACAGTCATGTGATCTGACGTAGAGGTGATCTCTTCTGAATGGCTGAGTGAGGACCACATGGTTCTTGATCTCACTGAGGTACAGGAGGATGGCCATTTGCAAAGGGTGTGGAAATGACCAAATATAGTCACTTGCCCAATAAAGGGTTAAGTCCTCTGTTTATTCAAAGCCGCTTTCCTCAACCAGGGGGCAGTATTGCTTTTCGCCCATGGACATAAGTGGACAGGGAAGCCGTCGATGTAGTCAAATAAATAAATAAATAAATAAAAATGCCCGGGACAAAGACGGTGATAAAGACGATTCAAACTGTTGATTGACAGATTACAATTAGTTAGATTAAAATTTTTAAGGACTTGGCTAAAAGTATATAAATAACTGAACCTAATTTTTCATGAACTTGACTAAAATGTGTAAATGTGTCTTTTATGTGTGCCTGAGGCCATTTGAGGATAAAGTGGATTGCTAACCATATTTAAGCCATGGTTTGACTACCTGAGCCTGTTACAAATGTTAAAAGTTGGATCTTGTTCCCTCTAGTTCTATAAAAACTATTACTGGTCTTCTACCCTCACAATTGTTTACTGCTGGTACACAGGTGAGCAATGGCTTTGTTTCAGAGCAGACCTGGTCTCCAACGTGACAACAGGAGGTGTTACTGCTGCAACATGAGCATTCAAACATTGAGAGGACATGCAGTCTGTCCGCTGCCACTCTTTTGTCACAGTTTCACAGTCTTTTCTGCAGCATAATGGTACAGGGGCGACCGTGTGTTTAATTATTTATGAAAACAGATGACAGAACAATGTCAGGACGGGAGCAGGTGACGGACCAGTGGACAAGACTGGACAACTCACACAATGGAGGCTCAGAAAGCAAGCAGAACCTGAAACTGGTGGACAGGAGGTCAGGGGAACAATTAAAAAACATAGTGAGGGCAGAGTGTTGGAGAGAACCTGG